CCCCAAAACCCCAAAACCCCAAAACCCCAAAACCCCAAAACCCCAAAACCCCATGTTTATGGTGCATAATTGATGTTTATTAAGTAAATTAATAAATCTACAATTCTAGAAGAGTGACTTGGCATAAGGGCAAAACTGAGAGGGTTGTGAGTAGCCCTGCTTTGAAAGATACTCAGTTGATATCCTATTTGCTTCAATACTCCTAGCGCTTAATTACAGACTGAATGAATTACCAGGTGCTCTTAATTGAGGATGTAGTGGCTGCAACCTTCCCTGGTTCAGACTTATCTTTGAAGGGTCCTGTCCTGATCCCTCCTGCCAAGGTAGTCCTGAACATAATCTTATTCGTCGCCTGCTGCAGCTTGATTGATTTCTGCAGAGCCTCTGTGTACTTCTGTCTCTGAGCTTTTGTTAATCTTGAACTAGAATTTTTCAACAATTTCTTCAGATTTTGTTTTGAAGGCCCACTTATTTTTAAATTTGAGTCCAGGTTTATAAAGCCAGTGGAAGAGAAAGATGAGTAAGGAGGTAGAGCATCTGTAGCATAAGTTACTGCCTGTTTTGTATTAGTGTTGGGTCTTTTGATTTCGAGATTACGCATTGTTGTACTCTTTTTGACTTTTCCTTTGTATGGTTTAATAGTTACAGAATTTGGACTCAAGGGTAGCATTTTATCTTGCCTACTAAGAGATGAAGAGTTTATTATTCTATTCGTCTTAAATGGATCATCCGTTATATCAATTGTTTTTCAATCACTCATAATATCTAAATCCTGTCTAAACCGCTTCCTTTGTTCTTTACTGAAACCAATACATCCTTTGAATCTTCCAATCCCATTATTTTTCTTGTAATTTTCATTATTTTTAAGCTCATGTAAGAAATCTTTAAGCATTCTGGACTTCTTAACTTCTCTATACGTCTTTCTCTGACTCTTTTCTGCCATTCTAAACAGAGAATTCTCTCGATTTTCAAGCCTTTCTTCGCTTTTAACATAATTTAGATTGATATTCCTGACATTTTCTTGGATTCATAGCTGCCTTCTAAGCCTATCTAGCTGTTTCTTAGTTTTGGCATTTGTAAATTTTGGTTTCTCATTATTAAATGCAGTAATATCTTTATCAAGTTTAGCATCAGTTCAAGTTTGGGTTAGAGCTGGCTGGGCTTTGTTTACTGTCATTTCAACCATCTCAGTTTTTATAAAAGCTTCCTTCTTCCTTATCTCAAACTGCTTGTCATATTCATCATGCATTTGGTCTGAATATTAATTCAAAAATCTTACTTTTTCTCCTCTTTTTGAGCTGAGTTAGTGTCATCTTATTTTGACTCTCTTTGGAAGGATCAACACCAAACTCTCCAATATCTGTAAGGATCCTTCCTCCTTTCTGAACGACTCTGTATCCATTATTCGTATTGGTATTTATCGGGTCCCAATAAAGAGTTTGTTCATACCCCTTCTTCAACTTCTGCACCAAATTTTCCCTCTCTTCTTTCGTAAGTACCCCGTCTCCATCATTATCAAACCTCTTAGCAATAGCATACTCCCTCATTCCAACCGCTCCGTCGCCATTAAGATCATAGGACGGATCTGGAATACTTTGTATCCTCCTCTTCGCCTTCAGCTCAGCCCATGTCTTTCAATGTTCTCTCTTCGACTCCCATTTCTTCGGTACTTTCACTACCTCCAGTTGCTTAACCTCCTCTGGAAATGACTCTGTCACCGTCTGTCTCTCCTATATCCCTCATTCCCCAACTTTCCTTCAAAACCTACCGTTTGGTGTCCAGTAATCTTATAAGCAGGTGGCACATGAACTCCTGCCTTAAGTAACCTCAGCGTGTCCATATTGACTATAAGTCAGCTTCCTAAGAAAAATACTTGTTTTTGGAAATTTTATGAAATTTTTATTTTAAGTTCAAAAAATTTTAAGTTGAAAGGGGTTTTGGGGTTTTGGGGTTTTGGGGTTTTGGGGTTTTGGGGTTTTGGGG